TCTCTCTCTCTCTCTCTCTCTCTCTCTCTCTCTCTCTCTCTCTCCAAGTTATTTCGCTAAAATTATAGCTTCATATAGAAGTACGATTGCAATTTTAGCTCAGGTTCGCATTACTTGATGATAAACGCAAATTCGTTAATGGACGTTGACGATTCCGAATTTGGCATTTCTCCGCCAGCTCGGTACAGACGAATCCTGGGTTTTCGCACTGAATTCTTCCGAACAGATGTGCGTTATCGGATTACAAGGAGAAAGGGAGACAGGGAGTACATCGACGTAAACGTCAGATCGGATGTATCTCTCTCGAGGAAGCGCAGCGCGCGCGCGTATGTTGGACACACGGAAAAGTGTCGGGGCCGGAACAAACGGAAGAACTGCAAAATGGACTGTGGAACAAGATTAAGTTCCAGAATATCGGAATTCATGGCGAAATGGCGAAACAGCGCACACATGAGGGGCACATATGAGGCTGGGGATGAAATTTATGACGCCCGAATATTCCGGCGCGTGTGAATGCGAGAGACAATGACGTAATGCACACGTTTTTAGGGCGCACCTTCTGCTGCAAGAGAGGTTGAAGTGGGCTCTTCGTCCGTTATTTCGGACCACCACGATTTCGATTATTTCACCCTCCGCTTCCAATCCATTGTTTTTTCTTTTGTCTCCCTTTTTCCCTTTCGAGTTCTCCCGAAGATAAATTATTCAAGTTATTTATACGCAGCCGCGGACCCGCGTAATTTTGCTTCATCATTGTTTTAAGTATACGCGTTTTACTTACCTGTTCTATCGATATTCTTAGTCTCATATGATTCCTAAACGAGAGCAAATATTTTCACGCCGACCGTATCGACTACATTTACCCTTACCCTTTACCTTATGCCACCTTCGATTTCTTTTCCAATTTTTATCATTTAGGTTCTCGCCGTTTCCCTCGCTTCATTCCTCACTCTTGGATTATTCTTATTTTGATGGGGTTTATGTGTACGTCCCGGAATAATAAACAGATTTATTTTTCGCTCTTTTCCGATGTTCCTCTCCTTGCCTTTTTTCCTTTCTCTCGTTCTCCCGTTTTCTCTTTTCGGAGCTAAGGCTCCCTCGAGACTTGCGGGGTTACACCATTGGCAAGAAAGTGTATCCTCTCGTGATGATAGAATTCGAAGTCGAACGGTAACTCGTGAGGAGAACGGGTTGTGCTAGGTAGAAACCCCCCATTGTTGTTGTTGAAAGCAACAGCAACATCGGGGCGAGGAATCCGATCGGGCCGCTCTTCGATCACGTATCGAAACGTCAATCGTAATTGTCGCGACGGTTGAAATCGATACCGCGCGCGTAGCGAGCGATAAAGCCGTGACGGCGGAATCGATTTGGTATTAAAATTTCACGCCGACAAGCGAGAATCGAGTGGATTACGGATTACAGAAATCGTCGGGTCGGACGGATCCGCCTCGCTAAAAAAGTGGATACGCCGGTAAGAAGGTTAAGAATCGCCACATCGATGAACAGTGAATCATACATGCAAATAAAGACAAAAATTTTTTCGTGTCTAAAAAAATTGAGCGTGCTTTTTAAAATACGCAAAAAAATATCTTAAATATCGACAAGTATTATATAATAAAAAATCTACAACACGATTGATATAAATCATTAAAAATCCGCAGACATAGCATCAATTAGCGAGTTTAATACTGTTATTCAATTAATTATTTAAAGTGAGTTAATTTAATTTTAAAGTTAGACTTTATAAAATATAAAAGAATATTCTTATGAAATTATGAAAAAAATAAAATTAAATAGAACCAAAGATGATGAGCATATAAACTTCAGACTTTATATTATGTTATAAATAATAAAATTTTAAATTTACGATTTGAAAGTCTATTGAATTGGTACACTCACTGAGTAATTTCGTACTAAATAAACAAAGAGAGGAGAATGAGAAACTAGCAGAGAGAGCTTCGGCACAGGTTTGGGCAACAAGGTTAAGCACCGAGATATCGAAATGTCCGGCAAGGTGGAAAAGAGATTCGTACGGAATACTCGATGGTAACTGTACAAATAAAATGGAGTTCCTTTTTTCGAAAAATCAAAGAGGAGAAAAATACCGTTCCTTGGCGCATCCATTGTATTGCGGTGGTTTAGCAGCGCGCGGCCGTTAAACGCCGGCCAAGCAAATAGAATGAAAATCGTATCTAGGAGAGATGCACGAGAGAATCGACTTCTCCGGGATTAAAAGCGAACGGACGACATGTCGTTGTTGATGTTACACGTAAAAACGAAACAAGGGAAACGTGAGCTTTCAGAGAAAAAAGATGTATTAAAAAGTCCGGTCGGTAGATGGACGATGGGTTTTTGTATCGTCGGACTCTGGCGTTTCATAATAGATCGTCTTTAATGTGACGTCTATTTCATACATCATACCTTTTCCTGTGCTCCCTAGGCAAAAAATAGTACGAATATCAAGTGTGCCACTTGCGCCTTCTCATTGTGCTAACGTATAAAAATTTTTTTTTAAAATGCACCTTCGGTCTTTCTATTTTATATTTTACTTATTATTTATTTATGTTTTATACTTACAAAACATATTAAAATCTTATTATTGATAAGATAATATTTATTTTTTTATATCTTTATATATACAATATTATTTCCGTAATATTTATATAATATTAAAGTGTCATAAAGATATTTCTTATATTTTTTTAACTTGATTATTTCGATCTATTAAAATTTGATAGTGGTGGTAGTTTGAATAATAATTGGCTGAATTTCATTGGCTTGCCCTGTTACAGACCGGAGGTGTTGATACGGTTTAAATGAATAAAATAAACGTGCTCTCGTCTCGGGTGTCCGGAGCGGTGATGAAACTGAAAGCCCTAGCTATTCCACGTGACGCACACGAAGATATAGTTGCCAACTGTACCTATAGATGCGCACTGCGGTCGCGATATCGGAATTCGCGATATACGTATAAGGTGGGTGAGCCAAAGTAACCGCGGGAGTGCTTCGAAATGGGTTGCGGGAACAAGGTTGAGTTCTAGGATATCGGAATATATGGGCGAGTAACAGTGCAAAGCACAAGGGGGATAGCGCGACTGAAATTTATGGCACCGATGGCAAGAAAGATTCCTGAAGGAGAGAGAAAGAGAGATGTAAAGAGGAAAAGAAATAGGAAGAGAGAGAGAGGGAGAAAGGGGCAAAAAAAAAAAGAAACATGTGGAGAGAAAAGAAGAGTGTACTCGAGGACATGGAATAAAATTGTTTCGGTCTTTACATAAAATACTAGAACGCCCGTCGGAGGCGAGGAACGAGATACCTCGTTTTGCCAACGCAACAACATAATTTTGCCGATTCGATCCGCGTCGATAGGGACGTATTCGCCTCGGGGGGAAAAAAAAAGAGACGGGCGAAAAAAAGAGACAAAGAGCGAGAGAAAGGGAGAAATGGAGGCACAAATTGTCGGATCTGATGGATCCGGTAGAAATTCTGTAACATGGCAGGATCGAATTCCCGCTGGCCGCTTCTGTCTCGCGTAGAATAATAGAAGACCCCGAGGCGAATAATATTTAAGAAAGCGGTTTCGCTTCTATCCCTCGACGGCAACGGCAACGGCAACGGCAACGGCGGTGGCGGCGGCGAGCCGTGGAATAAGGATTTTATCATGAATCGTCGTAACGATCGTCCTTACGACGCGATTCGCCGCGCTCTGAAGGGCAAAACACAGCGGCACGCGGATTGGCTCGGGTTCAAGTCGAGACTCGAACGACGATGCACGCGCATATCCAGATAACCCCGGTGGATGTTACCACATCGCCGTTAACCCCCCGAACGCGCCTTACTACGGCTTTTTTTCACCTTATCTGAAAACTCCACGCGATATAATATCGGAAATGATAACTCGGCTCTTACATCTTGGTGTAATATCTAGCTCGTCCCACCTGAACGTTCCATGTAATCAGATTTAAAATGAGAACTTTCAGATTATGGCGTACCGTCTGACGAACGTGGAGCGAAGCAAACATTTCAGCGGACCGATAACTTTGAAAAGTTGTAAAACGTGAAAAAAAAAAAGAGTGATTCCGATTCTCAATAAAAAGTTGACGTCTTCGATCATATTCGGAACTTGCGAAATCTTGAAGCGACCGTTAGGTACGGTTGTAAAATTTAATCACGTAGTAACTTGCGTCTGAAAATTAATTATGCTAATTCTCTTTAGCGGCGTTTATTGACATTGATTGCACATCTATATTACGATTCTCGATGATTTAATGACTTGTTAATTTATCAAGATTGTGATTGGCTTGTAATTGATCGAACGACGCGCGATATAAGGTGATTACGACGCGCATTTATTAAGTTAATTTAATTGGTCGCTTCCTCGGTAACATCGCGTGTACCAGGCAAATTGGAAGCTAATATAGACGACTATGTATTACGCGGTACATACATATTGGACTGCGTTCAAATCGAAACTCAAACAATACCGCGGACGTGTTTCCGGGATCATCAATGGACGCTAAGGAATCTGTGCTAAATGTTTTGCCGCGCGTCTCGAAATTACTTTGAACTTTAGCGACCGTCTCCGTCGACGTTTGCTGTATACACACAACCGCGATACACTGCGGAGCAACGACAAACAATGTTACGTCAATTTAGGGAGATATCGATTTTACGAATGGTATGAAATTGGTCCCCAAAGTCGGAGCGTTTATACTTTTATGAGTGACGTAAAAGAGATATCGTGGGCTCGTCTCACTCTTTTGTTCGCCACATTTTTCGGAGGGAAGATTTTAATTCTAACATGTCGTTCTGACAACGAGAGAGAAGAAAGTTGGCTGAAATAGAATGTAAAGATAATAGAATGACTTACTTCGCGCATTTTCCGCTGTTCACCTCTCTGTCGATCGCTCTGAAATCAAATTAAATTACAACAATTAGCTGTTGAATCATTAGTACAGATGTATTTCATAGTCGTATATATTTAATAAATAGCAAATGACCATGTGTATATGAATCAACTTCTCGCAAGTCTCGCAATTTTATAATTACGTCGACGATGATATCGTTTTTGCTGTAAATTAATTTAACAAATTAGTTCCCGTTCATCGTTGACAAATTCTTTCCATAAGGGTTATAATTCCGTAAAGAGGTTACGGCAATGCGGCCCTTGCTGAAAGTGGCTTTCAACTAGTTAAAGTCCGTCCCTTGTCGACAGGAAATACCTCTAACCGCGCTGTTGCAATCGACAATGCCAGAGTCTCATCGGGATTCCGATATATCGATATTATAGAGGAGCGTAGGAGCGATTGTAACACGGCACAATGCCCTTGTAACATTGCCCTTTATTATCAACTAAAGTTACCTGTATTACTAACACGAATTAAGCTATTTGGCTTGTATTTCTATCTTCCATGAAACTATTCGCGATAATTCTCATATACAACCTTCATCGAGTATTATTTCGTATTTTTCCTTATAAATAGTAAACTTTTTTTAATAACATCTACATTCCGATATATCAATAAATGTTGTATAATGTTATTAAATAAATAATAATGGAATATTTAAAAATGAATAATAATTGAGTATTAAAAAAAAAACTATAGAAAATCAAGCTCGAGTTGCTCGATACAAAAACTCATTTTAAATTCATTTTTGATTGTGAGGAGGAACCTGGTAAAAATCTCAAAACTAGTTAAGGAAAACATATTTGGAGCATAAAAACATCCAACTAAAAGTATTGGAAATGCATAAAGAATTATGTTGTCACGTTAGGAATGCATTAATCTGGATTTAAACTTTTGACGAATGTTACTTTTAATAGCTGGATTTATCTATTCTAAGTGTTAGACGTCGTGCTACAAATCAGGACCTCGCTAGGATTAAATCTATCTCTCGCAAAACAAAACGCTCTTCTAAGCGCGGAGAATCGACCGTTGCGGTTTCGCTCGTTCGCCCGCCGCGAAACAAATTCACGACGCACACCGGGAGCGAACGTGTTCCGTCGTTAAAAATATAAACTTCATGCCCATCTTACGAGCGCGGGCATGGTTCATTTGTCTCGTAAAGGCGAAACTAATGGTCGGCACAGAGTTATGTACCCCATATTGGCTCGCATTCAAGTCGAAATTCAAACCGCGCCGTGAAACGCACGGCATGATCACCGGTCAGGTCGTTACGACCCTAGCTGAAACACGAAATCAGCTTGTCGGATTATTAATCCTTTCATTATCGAACTGAATTTATGCAAAACGCCGATGATTTCAGATAATTTTATGTATTTCAAAAGATTAACGTCTTCTCGGTATAATGAAGCTTTTTTTCATCTTACAAAATGGATCTTTTACATTTAGATCTTACTACTTGTAAGTTTTTTATCCAAATGAAATTCACTTTTTGTCGAAAATTTACAAAAAATTGAAATGTAGCTAAAAATTCTACAAATTCCAATGGCTAATTCATTCTCGATATTTTAATTGTAACAATAACATAAATTTGCAATTAATTGAAAACTAGATGAGTCAGAGTGAAGAAACAACAAAATAAACAATTTTTTAGATATAAGAAATACAAAATTGATTTAAAATTATTTGATAAATTTATAAATCTTTTTTGTCACTACATTCTTAGTCCCACATAACTTTCTTCGTCGTAACCACAATTTAATTTAGATGACGAATCAGAAATGTGGAAATAATGCGCGATTCTACGAATTGTTACGTTCTCAGGTCGGCATCGAAACGATGCTGCGAGACACACACATGAGATCACTATAGGATGGAACTCGAGGAATTATTGCCAATCGTGAGAAGCTGAAACATCTGAAAGGAATTTTATTCTCTCATACAAGAAGCATCCATATAGTCTTAGAGAATATCGAAGATATTCGTTCTGCTAATATATTATTAAAATTTCGTATATTAAAGTTGTAAATACATTATGCATGAAGCTATAAATCCCGTCATTAAAAAAATTGTTTTGCAAAGATTTGTGTACATATATTTGTTACAATCGTAATTTTTCATAAATCTAAAATATAAAAAAGACGCAAAATTTACTTTACAATTTTTGAGTATATAATTTGATATAGTTGTCCATTTGTAAAAAATATGTTTTATTAAAGCTTTTCAAAGTTTTATTCTTAAAATATCATCAATCTCTAAGATTTTCATTTTGAAAATTTTATATCCTTTTTTATGTCAAATTTTTAGTAACATCAATTTCAATATATTAATTAAAATTAATAAATATTTTAAAATAATTATAATTGATTGGAACAAATAATTATAATTATTTAGAACAAATTGTCGACAAATTGTCGCGATAAAATTCTATTACCGTTGAGAATGTTGAGTACAATAACTGAAGGCAGAAGAGAGGGAGAAAAAGAAATTATTAATTTCTTACTGGAGAAACAGTCGCGACTGGATTAGATTCGCGTAATTAGAAATCTTGTCGCGTGAGATATAAATGGAGTAGACATTTCCATTCTCGGGATAGGAAACGGACCTTTAGTCTCTGAAATCTGCGCTCGCAATTTTCTCGCTTGTCCTAAAAGGAACATGTCACGTACAAATACGAACAAAATTAACAGGGAATTAATATAAAACTCACGATTGTGCGCATTCCAAATATCGAAAGACTCAAAAAATTATTATTCATTTCTTCTAAGCTAAAATAAATATAATTATCGATTATCGGATATCTCAATGAATAAATGAATAAAATAATTTTAAAACTTTAGTAACCTTGTCTCATTTTAAAGTAACTGTCGATAATTCCTTCAAGATAAACCAACTTCCCTTGCTTTATGGTCACTTTGATATTCAGTGAAAATATCACATTTACAAACGAGTACTTAAAAGCGAGTTTGAAGTTTCCTGGGAACACAGTAGAAGCTAAGAGCGGACAAGTGCTCCGAGAGCAATCCCGGCCGTAAAATACCGCAACTACGCCGGCTGTGAGGCGGCGCGAATTATCGGCCGCGCGATTCCGACAATTTAGCGTTCCGCCCGTTGTACGACGACACGACACGACGCGACAACGCTATTCAAATCTCGTCTCCCCCGTCCTCCTCCTCCTCCTCCTCCTTCCCTTCCTTTTCCGTTTCGTTCCCGTTCCGTCGCGCCGCGTGGCAGTAAACAAATACCTTTATCCTGAGCGAGGCGTTTCGTCTCCTCGGAAATCGTAGCCGCGTTCATCCCGCAGGATGTATTCAGGATGAAGAGTGCAGAGAGGACGACGCAATTCCACACCGACAGAGAATACCTCGGTCGGCTGCAACGGGGGAGGACGAGGCAGGGAGCAAGGGCGGAGGAGCAGGGAGGTGAGGCGGAGGGGGTGGGCACATTGCGCAAAGCAGCACGGCTGCATCCTGCCCTCATGTTCCCGCGTCCCTCCCCCGTCACCCGTCGGCGGCGTTGGCTGCATAAGCCACTCGTCATTATTTCATCGAAATCGGTAGCTGGTTCAACAGGTACGTTTCCGGCGCGATATGCGGTTCCAAAAGCCTGTCTGGAAATCGCCAGACTTGTAGAAAAGGCGGAACAACGGGAAGGGAAATAACAGTGCTTTACATGTAGAATATCGCAAGAGTAAAATGCAATCCGTCAATCATAGGCATTGCTTGACAAGTGCGATTTGTAAATCTATCATACTCCTTCGTACTTACACTCATACCTTCATTTTTGTATCTTCGCATAAAACGACACGATAAATATTGGGTAGCGAGTTAGAATTCCGATGAAGCAAAACCTGCTCGAAATTAACTCGAAATTAGTGGAAGAATGAGGAAGCCTTAATTACGTACGTAAAAATTAAAATAGTGAAATATGCACTATTCTGACGTGAATTTAGTGCAAGTGTGTCTTTTTTCCTAATCTTACTTTTTAGTATGTGTAAAGATTCGGAAAACACGAATCGTTTCTGGGACATTCTCTACACTTGTGCATGCCATCGCATCTTCTTACAGTTCATACGATGCACGCGAGACGAAAGGATGCCGAACTCCGGTGAAACTGGCCTCGAGCCAGGACATTACTTCCGAGAAGGAAGAAGAAAAGAGTCAGAGAGGACGATACATGTATGAGAGAAAGGAGGACAGAAGAGAGAGAGAGAGAGAGAGAGAGAGAGAAACAGAGAGAGAGAAAAGAAGAGAAAGAGGAC